CACCCTTCATTATAGAAGGGGGGGAGGTCTGAGCTCACCCAACAATATAGAGATGGAGGGGGATAATGTGACAGTAATGGGGTCTTGGCAGAAATAAAGTGGCCCCCATATTCTTTTAAAATTGGCCAGTCTGTGACACAAGCAGGATTCCAATCTTTGTTTGGAGGGTCAAACATTACTTACCAGGCCACTGATAACCAGACACCTGCTAATGGGGCCTATCATATACTCCATCACAGCCTGGTTTATAAAACCCATTAAGACATTTCATAAGTAACTTAGCAGACATTAAAAGAATGTCCGAGGGTTTCTTCTCACAGAGACAGATATTAGGTGAATAATGATTATTCTATTAAATGTTGCCATCATTTTAGAACTAAACGCCCCCATCTTACGAAGGACAGCAAGGTCCATTATTGCTCCTTAGGAAGGTGCATTTCAGGAGGTAGGTCATGAGCGTTCTCGTTCAAAGGTAATTTTATTATTATACAGGATTTATGGCGCCAACAGTTTGCTCAGCGCTTTACAATATAATGGGAGATGATACAGCAACAATACAGTTCAATACAAGAGGGTTAGGAGGGCCCTGATCCTGGGAGCTTACAATCTAAGAGGGAGGGGCTGGTGGTACAAAAGGTAACAACTGTGGGGGATGGACTGGTAGGAGGAATAGAAGATTCCGTTATTAGCTGAAGGCAGGATAGAGATCTGTTTTCAGAGATCGCCCAAAAGTGGGTAGAGTAGGCGATGGTCGGATAGATTGGGGTAGAGAGTTCCAGAGGATGGAGGAGGCTCTGGAGAAGTCCTGAAGACAAGCATGGGAGGAGTAGACAAGGGAGCTAGAGAGCAGGGAGGACGGTTTGGGTGATATTTGGAGACAAGATTGGTGATGTAGTTTTGGGCGGAGTTATAAATGGCTTTATTTGTTATTGTTGATGTTTTTAATTTTATTCATTAGGCAAAGGGAAGCCAGTGGAGGGATTGGCAGAGAGGGGTGGAGGACACTGAATGAAGGCCAGTGGAGGGATTGGCAGAGAGGGTGGAGGACACTGAATGAAGGCCAGTGGAGGGATTGGCAGAGAGGGGTGGAGGACACTGAATGGAACCCAGTGGAGGGACTGACAGAGAGGGGTGGAGGACACTGAATGGAAGCCAGTGGAGGGATTGGCAGAGAGGGATGGACGCCAGTGGAGGACACTGAGTGGAGGCCAGTGGAGAGATTGGCAGAGAGGGGTGGAGGACACTGAATGGAGGCCAGTGGAAGGATTGGCAGAGAGGGGTGGAGGACACTGAATGGAAGCCAGTGGAGGGATTGGCAGAGAGGGATGGATGCCAGTGGAAGAGTGGAGGACACTGAGTGGAGGCCAGTGGAGAGATTGGCAGAGAGGGGTGGAGGATACTGAATGGAGGCCAGTGGAGGGATTGGCAGAGAGGGGTGGAGGACAATGAATGGAAGCCCGTGGAGGGATTGGCAGAGAGGGGTGGAGGCCAGTAGAGGGATTGACAGAGAGGGGTGGAGGACACTGAATGGAAGTCAGTGGAGGGATTAGCAGAGAGAGGTGGAGGACACTGAGTGGAGACCAGTGGAAGGATTGGAAAAGAGGGGTGGAGGACACTGAATGGAGACCAGTGGAGGGATTGGCAGAGAGGGGTGGCAGATACAGAATGGTTAGTGAGGTGGATGATTCTGGCAGCAGCATTCATGATAGACTGAAGAGGGGATAGCCTGCGATGAGGTCGGCCAATGAGGAGGGAGTTACAGCAGTCAAGGCGAGAGATAACCAGGGAGGGAATAAGTTGCTTAGTGGTTTCCAAGGTTAAGAAAGGGCGTATCTTGGAGATGTTGCGGAGGTTGGAGATGTTGTGGAGGTTGGAGATGTTGTGGAGGTTGGAGAAGTTGCGGGGGTTGGAGATGTTGCGGAGGTGAAGTCTACAAGAATTGGACAGTGATTGGATTTGGGGCTGAAAGGACAGATAGGAGTCCAGGATTACACCTAGTACCCTGGAATGAGGGGAGGGACTGATGGTTGTAAGATTGATCTTGATGGAGAAGTCGGGGGAGGGGGCACGGGATGGATTTTATGCTGAATGATAAACTATGTGTTACAGGCTCATGCCATGTTGTATACTCAAAATATATATTGATAAAACTGTATATGAGGGTGTTGCAGCTACATGATCATAATCATGTTTGACATCCCCTTGGCCACTTTTTTGGTCATTCCTGTCAACACCCTCCCCAACCACCAGTAAGAAGTAACTCCATCAGCAGTCTAGAACACGCCTTTACCATTGAAAAAAAAGAACATCTGCCAAGTAGGGAAGAGCTCAGGTGGGTTCGGGGACAAGTCATAAATGGTTGAGATGTTCCACTTCCAGCAACTGCACATATAAAAGGGACGTATGATTGCCTGTCCAGAGTGACAGTTCCAGCAGCAGTACCAGGCATGAAGTACCAACATCCAGTTCTGTGAGCTGGGCCCTGGTGAGAAAGAGGTGGTGGACAATGAGATGTCAGACCACACTTGGGTGTCATGGAGGGAAGTTTAGGACAGTTCTTAGGAAGAGGTGAAAGGGGGGGGGGGGGGGGGGGCGGTCAGGGACGTATTGGATTGGAGAAGGGTGTCCAACAACAGCGGCACTTCACAGTGGAAAGCAGAAATCAGCCATCAATAGGCATCTGGTGGCCATGGCCTGTCCACTGCTGACAACTCCTTGTTGCATCAATTTGGGCACTGCCTGTATTTGAAGCAACATGAAGGTCCACCACAGAACTGGCAGGAGCTGTGTTCAAGGTGCTGGGAAAGCAATGGTGGCTCGAGTTGTCCTGCCTCCCTGCATACAGGGGGTGTGGAATGGAGAGAGATGTGCAGAGAACATACAAACACTAAGTAACCACATCTACACTGCCAATTCCCACTGGGGGCAGCCCACCTATTAACCCTTATATCCCCATCCTATTATGGTTCAACCAATACAGTCCAGATAATTCTCCACTGTCTCTCTACAGATAAACTAGCATATATCACATGACCAATGAGGATGGAGGAGGACCGGAGTCATATGACTGAGAGGATACTAAACCTCACCCTGGAGATCATCTACCTGCTGACCGGAGAGGTGAGGAGGATTCTGGGAGGTCACATGACATCACTCTTATCTCTATTAATAAAACACAGACCTGACCGGAGAGGTGAGGAGGATTCTGGGAGGTCACATGACATCACTCTCATCTCTATTAATAAAACACAGACCTGACTGGAGAGGTGAGGAGGATTCTGGGAGTCTAACATGATATTCCTATTGGTTCCCCAATACAGAGATTTCCTCTTCTGAAGTCAGGTGATCATATGACCATCACAGTGCCTCCATGTGACTCCCTAAACCCTGAGAGACACAACATGCAGAAGATTCTAGAAGTCACCAAGAAGATGATGGAGCTGCTGACCGGAGAGGTGAGCGGTGCCGGGAATTCTGGGACATTCTCCAGTAACAGACAAAAGATGTGTCTGGATGGTGACTGTATCATTGTATGTGTCAGGTTCCTATAAGGTGTCAGGGTGTCACTGTCTATTTCTCCATGGAGGAGTGGGAGTATTTAGAAGGACACAAGGACCTCTACAAGGATGTCATGATGGACAATCAGCCGCCCCTCACATCACCGGGTAAGCAGAGACTTTATTGGAAAGGAGAGAGCAGTACGGAGGCTCCACCTAGATCCCCCATCATCTGATAAACACATAGAAACAATGGATTCAGTCAGTGTGTGTGATTCCTACAGATGGATCCAGTCATGGGAACCCACCAGAGAGATGTCCCCGTCCTCTGTATTACCGAGATTCCACACAGGAAGGTCACACCATCCCTCACCATCATCAGGTAGATGGATCCAGTCATGGGAACCCACCAGAGAGATGCCCCCGTCCTCTGTATTCCCGGGATTCCACACAGGAAGGTCACACCATCCCTCACCATCATCAGGTAGATGGATACAGTCATGGGAACCCACCAGAGAGATGTCCCCGTCCTCTGTATTCCCGGGATTCCACACAGGAAGGTCACACCATCCCTCACCATCATCAGGTAGATGGATCCAGTCATGGGAACCCACCAGAGAGATGTCCCCGTCCTCTGTATTCCCGGGATTCCACACAGGAAGTTCACACCATCCCTCACCATCATCAGGTAGATGGATCCAGTCATGTGAACCCACCAGAGAGATGAGTCTCTTCTTTGAGCTGAATTATAGCTAAAAGCTAACATAAACCTCAATAACAGTCTTGTTGGGATAAAAAGAAACGTTTCCTCCAGTGCTGCCTTTCACCAGAAGCCTAGGCCTATGGTCACTTTCTTTATGGTAAAAGGTCTGTACTTTGACTCCCTTGTCTATTAGAGATCACATGACCCAGTGCCTAGGCTTGTGGTTATGTAAATAGCATGCCCAGCCCCCATTGGTTCCTGCTCCTCTGACAAGGCAGTGTAAATGTAGAAGTGATCTTGGAGGACCAAAGGCCCTTTGACTGAAGAGGGGAGGAGTCCCAGCTGGTTGGGACATCCACAGAGAACATCTGCTCCCTCCTATCTCCCTGATCCAGATGGAATCTTGATGGAAGTGAACTAACCCTCTCCTATCTATTGATGATGTTTTTCTATTTTTCCAGGACCCGCCATGGAGAAACCCTCAAAGGATCGTCTCACTTTATCTCCAGGTTGTAAAATGGAAGATGAGGACATCCCAGGAGATTGTGCCGGAGAAAAGACAATGAGCTCCACTATGGATGGTGGACTTCCCAGTGTGGAGAGACCATGGAGTCCCTCTTACATGGGCCAACCTCGTATTGTGGGGGATGGGGCTGGGATTCAGGGGGAGAAGACATTTCCCTGCCCTGATTGTATGGAAAGTTTTAGCTCTGCAGTGGATCTTATTATACACCAGAGGTCCCACACGGGTGAGAAGCTTCTTTCCTGTCCTGAGTGCGGGGAATGTTTTTTTCATATAGGAGAATTCCGCAAACATTACAGATCTCACACGGGGAAGAAGCCGTATTTCTGTTTTGAGTGCGGAAAATATTTTTCAGAAAAGACGACTCTCTCCAGACATCAGAAACTGCACACAGGCGAGAGGCCACATTCCTGCCCTGAGTGTGGAAAATGTTTTATACAGAAATCAGATCTTGTTATTCATCAAAGATCACACACGGGTGAGAAGCCATATAAATGCCCAGAGTGCACAAAATGTTATACACGGAAATCGGATCTTGTGAATCACCACAGATTACACACGGGTGAGAAGCCGTATTCCTGCTCTGAGTGCGGGAAATGTTTCTCACAAAAGTACAATCTCACTGAACATCAGATAAGCCACACAGGAAAAAGGCTGTTTTCCTGCGCTGAGTGCGGGAAATGTTATCTACGGAAAACAGAATACGTCACACATCAAAGATCTCACACTGGTGAGAAGCCGTACTCCTGTCCTGAGTGCGGGAAATGTTTTTCAGAACAGACCACTCTTTCCAGACATCAGAGATTGCACACAGACGAGAGGCTGTATGCCTGCCCTGAGTGTGGAAAATGTTTTACACGAAAACGCATCCTTGATAATCATCAGAGATCTCACACACGGGAGAAGTCGTATTCCTGTTCCAAGTGCACAAAATGTTATAAGCGGAAATCCGACCTTGATAGCCATCAAAGCTCTCACACGGGGAATAAGCTGTATTCTTGCTCTGAGTGTGAGAAATGTTATACATGGAAATCAGATCTTGTTAAACATAAAAAAACACACACAGGGGAGGAGAAGCCTTATTCCTGCCTTGAGTGCGGGAAATGTTATCCACGGAAATCAGACCTTGTTAAACATCAGAGATCTCACACGGGAGAGAAGCCGTATTCCTGCTCCGAGTGCGGGAAATGTTTCGCTCGAAAGTCCAACCTTACTGAACATCAGATAAGCCACACGGGCACAAAGCTGTTTTCTTGCTCTGAGTGTGGGAAATGTTATCTATGGAAATCAGAATTTGTCAAACATCAAAGAGCTCACATTCGGGAGAAGTAGTATTCCTTCCATGAGTGTGAGAAATATATTTTCACAGAAGTCTTATCTTACAAAACACTAGAGAACACACATAGCCCTTGAGGTGTATTAGTGTCCTAAGTGCGGGAAATGTCTTCTCTATGAATGATATGTTGGCGTACATCAGAGATCTCACACTGGGAAGAAGCACACCTTGATATACACCTCAGAAAACATGTGGCTGAGCGCTCCTCTGATCTTTGGCCTTCAAGATGGAATTCAGAGTTTACTCAAACATCCAAACTTCTGTCTGACTTAAAAAAAAGATTAAATATTTCTTGAAAGCGTGATGTTCTCTGTAACTTTTCTATGTCCCGTGTCCCTCTAAACATGAGGATCAGCATGAATACCAAAAGCCCAGTCTTAGGAGGAGCCAAGCCCTGTGTCTGGAACACCAACTCCATTCTCATCACTGACACCATCAACATCTCCCATTCTGCTCAGCAGGTCGCTTGCTCGGTTACTAGATGACTCTGCCTCAACTTTTTGCATCTCTGTCCTGATTTTAAGTCTTTGCCTCTGACCTATCAGTGTGGGTGTGTGTGTCTGACCGGACGTTGTGTGTGTATCTTCACATATGAGTTGCACCCATGTGTCCTGAAGGAGTTGAGTTCTGTTATTTCAAATTCATTGTTTCAAATTTTTAGAGACTCTTTATTTACTGGCTCGGTACCCCTACACAAGGCCAATGTGGTGCCTATAATTAAAAAGGGATCAAATGCTCTACCAAGTAACTACAAGCCGGTTAGTATAACTTCTATAGTTGGGAAGATACTGGAAAGTTTCATAAAAGACCTCAGGACGTCTGTAGTATACTCCAATGATACGTCCATCAGTCCATAGACCCATCTATCATTCCACCCGTAATTCCTCCTCCGCACCATCATCTTGTTGGAGCAGCCGACTCTCCCCCTTCTCATAGACCTCAGGACGTCTGTAGTATACTCCAATGATAAGTCCATCAGTCCATAGACCCATCTATCATTCCACCCGTAATTCCTCCTCCGTACCATCATCTTGTTGGAACAGCCGACTCTCCCCCTTCTCATAGACCTCAGGACGTCCGTAGTATAGTCCAATGATAAGTCCATCAGTCCATAGCCCCATCTATCATTCCTCCCGTAATTCCTCCTCTGCACCATCACCACCTCCAACCACAAGATCATCTTTCTTCCTCACTTTCAGATCACATCTAACATAGAGAAACCCCCCTCCATCTTTTCTATGTCCCGTGTCCCTCTAAACAAGAGGATCAGCATGAATACAAACAGCCCAGTCTTGGGAGGAGTCAAACCGTGTTTCTGGAACACCAACTCCATTCTCATCACTGAAACCATCAACATCTCCCATTCTGCTTAGCAGGTTGCTGGATTTATGGAGTCACGTTATTATTTTGTAATTGTTGCTATAATATTAGGTTTATATGTAATTGAGGGATCTCGTTATTTGCTATCTTAACCTTCCCCCATCTTCTCTCATTTCACCCTCTGCTAATGTCTCACTCACTCATTAGGGAAGGGATTTGGGTTTGCACTGAAGTACTTTCTAAGATTAGTTATGAACTTTCTCTGTGTTCGTTTGAGGTCATGCCCGTGTTCTTGATCTAAGCTTCATATTGAACATACTGCCCACCTGAACCTTATTCACACCCTTCAAGTATTTAAAGATTTCAGCCATGTCCCCGCTTTCCCTTCTTATCTCCAGACTGTACCTATTAGGTTCCTGAAGTCTCTCCTGATGTTTTATCCCTCAGACCCTTCACCATCTTTGTTGCCCATCTCTGGACTCATTCTTTATTATCAATATCTTTTTGTGAGGTCTCCAGAAATGGACACAGTATTCTAAGTGGGGTCTAACTAAAGATCTATATAAAGGAATCAGGACCTCCTTCCTCCTGCCGGTGACCCCTCTAGAGATATAAAGATCTACATAGAGGAATCGGGACCTCCTTCCTCTTTATGGAAATGCCTCTAGTGATATAAAGATCTATATAGAGGAATCAGGGCCTCCTTCCTCTTGATGGAGACCTCTCTAGTGATATAAAGCTCCATACAGAGGAATCGGGACCTTCTTCCTCCTGCTGGTGACCCCTCTACTGATATAAAGATCTACATAGAGGAATCAGGACCTCCTTCCTCTTGATGGAGACCCCTCTAGTGATATAAAGCTCCATATAGAGGAATCAGGACCCCCTTCCTCCTGCCAGTGACCCCTCTACTTATATAAAGATCTATATAGAGCAGTGGTCGGCAAGCCGCGGCTTGCGAGCCACATGCAGCTCTTTACAAACTTAAATGCGGCTCTTCTGTGTGCCGGGCGCCAGCTCCCCTCCCTCCTCTCGGGCGGCCGCCCCCCTCCCTCCTCTCGGGCGGCCGCCCCAAAAGTCAGGACTCTGCAGCTGTCAGGATGTAGGCGGGGCAGCCAGGATGTAGGCGGGGCAGCGTGACGAACTCCTCTCCTCTCACAGTCCGCCCTGAAGACCAGAACGGCGCGGGAACACGGCGAGAAGAACGCGCGGAGCAAAGGTAAGTGAATTGACACAATATGGGGAATGAATTACTATAGGGGGGGTGAATTACTATATGGGGGATGAATTACTATATGGGGGATGAATTGCTATATGGGGGATGAATTACTATGGGGGATGAATTACTATGGGGGATGAATTACTATATGGGGGATGAATTACTATATGGGGGATGAATTACTATGGGGGATGAATTACTATAGGGGGGATGAATTACTATAGAGGGGATGAATTACTACTATATGGGGGATGAATTACTATGGGGGATGAATTACTATATGGGGGATGAATTACTATGGGGGATGAATTACTATATGGGGGATGAATTACTATGGGGGATGAATTACTATATGGGGGATGAATTACTATGGGGGATGAATTACCATGGGGCATGAATTACTATATGGGGGATGAATTACTATGGGGGATGAATTACTATATGGGGGATGAATTACTATGGGGGATGAATTACTATATGGGGGATGAATTACTATGGGGGATGAATTACTATATGGGGGATGAATTACTATGGGGGATGAATTACTATGGGAGATGAATTACTATATGGGGGATGAATTACTATGGGGGATGAATTACTACATGGGGGATGAATTACTATGGGGGATGAATTACTATGGGGGATGAATTACTATATGGGGGATGAATTACTATGGGGGATGAATTACTATGGGAGATGAATTACTATATGGGGGATGAATTACTATGGGGGATGAATTACTATATGGGGGATGAATTACTATATGGGGGATGAATTACTATGGGGGATGAATTACTATATGGGGGATGAATTACTATATATGGGGGATGAATTACTATGGGGGATGAATTACTATGGGGGATGAATTACTATATGGGGGATGAATTACTATGGGGGATGAATTACTATAGGGGGATGAATTACTATATGGGGGATGAATTACTATGGGGGATGAATTACTATATGGGGGATGAATTACTATATGGGGGATGAATTACTATGGGGGATGAATTACTATATGGGGGATGAATTACTATATGGGGGATGAATTACAATGGGGGATGAATTACTATATGGGGGATGAATTACTATATGGAGGGATGAATTACTATGGGGGATGAATTACTATGGGGGATGAATTACTATATGGGGGATGAATTACTGTGGGGGATGAATTACTATATGGGGGATGAATTACTATGGGGAATGAATTACTATATGGGGGATGAATTACTATATGGGGGATGAATTACTATGGGGGATGAATTACTATATGGGGGATGAATTACTATATGGGGGATGAATTACTATGGGGGATGAATTACTATATGGGGGATGAATTACTATGGGGGATGAATTACTATATGGGGGATGAATTACTATATGGGGGATGAATTACTATGGGGGATGAATTACTATGGGGGATGAATTACTATATGGGGGATGAATTACTATGGGGGATGAATTACTATGGGAGATGAATTACTATATGGGGGATGAATTACTATGGGGGATGAATTACTATATGGGGGATGAATTACTATATGGGGGATGAATTACTATGGGGGATGAATTACTATATGGGGGATGAATTACTATGGGGGATGAATTACTATATGGGGGATGTATTTTCAGTTTTAAAAATGTGGCTCTCAAAATAAATTTCAATCGTGGTTTTGGCGAGATTTGGCTCAGTTGAAAAAAAAGGTTGCCCACCACTGATATAGAGGAATCAGGACCTCCTTCCTCCTGCCGGTGACCCCTCTACTGATATAAAGACCTATAGAAAAGAATCAGGACCTTCTGCTGGTGATCTTTTAGTGATATAAAGGTCTATATAGAGGAATCGGGACCTCCTTCCTCCTGCAGGTGACCCCTCTAGTGATATAAAGATCTATATAGAGGAATCGGGACCTCCTTCCTCCTGCCGGTGACCCCTCTAGTGATATAAAGATCTATATAGAGGAATCGGGACCTCCTTCCTCCTGCCGGTGACCCCTCTAGTGATATAAAGATCTATATAGAGGAATCGGGATCTCCTTCCTCCCGCCGGTGATCCCTCTAGTGATATAAAGGTCTATATAGAGGAATCAGGACCTCCTTCCTCCTGCCGGTGACCCCTCTAGTAATATAAAGATCTAGAGGAATCAGGACCTCCTTCCTCCTGTCGGTGACCCCTCTAGTGATATAAAGGTCTATATAGAGGAATCAGGACCTCCTTCCTCCTGTCGGTGACCCCTCTAGTGATATAAAGATCTATATAGAGGAATCAGGACCTCCTTCCTCCTGCCGGTGACCCCTCTAGTAATATAAAGATCTAGAGGAATCAGGACCTCCTTCCTCCTGCCGGTGACCCCTCTAGTGATGTAAAGATCGTCTATGAGAAGTATGGAAGAGACATACCACTGTCTCTTAATTGTTCTAGACTGTTTGATGTGTTGTTGCATTGCAGATATG